GCCTGAGTTCAAATCTGGCTTCAGACACATAATACTCACTAGCTTGTGTGACTCTGGGCAAGTCACTTAATCTCAATTGCCTCATATAAAAAAGAAGAAGAAGAAGAAGAAGAAGAATGAGATTCCTAGACCCACTTCTTAAAATAAAGCCCCATTGGTATAGGCTATCAGTGAAAACAAAAATCTGGTGAAATTCTATTCAACAAAGAAAATGACAGAAATTCTATATTCTCATTTATCATGAGACTCAGAAGTCCCCTATGTGAGCTAATGACTGGCCATTATTCCAGTCTTATACTGGAGATGGTGGACTGACCTTGCCTAATTATATGGCTAGAGGAAGAGGGAGAAAGGTGTAATAGGGACATGAAATTTTTGTGACTATTACTATATGCTCACTCAGGTTTTCTTTTAATAGGCTGTTAAAATATGTGGTCTGCAGTTTCCAACACAGAGGGAAGAGTCAATGACTCGGGGGATGCAATGACTGAAAAGGGGTAGTGGTTGGAGCTATAGCTAAGAATCAGGAAAACTGTACTATGCTCATTGGCCTTAGGCTATATTTGTTCAATTATCTCTGCCAATAAGTAAAGAACTGATGTGCACTTTCCAAAGAGGCACAGGTTTATGGCTAAAAAACAATTTAGTCTGGAAGAATTCATGCCACAAATGTGGGAGCCTGGCCTTTAAGAGGTTGTAGACAAGATGGAGAAGGGTGGGGTGGAAAGAAAGTTTCAGAATAGGTAGAAGAGCCAACATCAGCCAACCAGGTTGAAAGATCCATCTTGCTAAACCTATTTCTAGTGAACCAGACAGAATGGAGGTACAGTTCAAGGTAAGAGCAGTCTCTGGGCATCTAGGTGGTACAGTGGTTAGAGTGTTAGGCCTAGAGTCAGGAAGACTCATATTCCTGAGTTCAAATCTGGTCTCAGACACTTGTTAGCTATGTGACCCTGGGCAAGTCACTTAATCTTGTTTGCCTCAGTTTCTTCTTCTGTAAAACAAGCTGGGGAAGGAAATGACAAACCACTGCATTATCTTTGTTAAGAAAACCCCAAGTAGGGTCACAAAGAGTTGGACACAATTTAGAACAACAACGAGAGCAGTCTCCAGGGCTGAAGTAGTGACCTTCAGAAGGACAAGGTGGCTAAGGTTGAAGCCTGAAGAAAAGAGCTTTATGGGCTTGGTAGTGGAAGGTCTACCCTACTGGGACTCTACATGGGATAGGAAACAAAGCATGTTTTCTGAATCAATGGCATAACAGAATCACAGGATTTCAGAGCCATCTAATCTAATCCATCATACCTGCTACATCGTCATCCAGCTTTTGCTTGAGGTCTCCCGGTGAGGGGGAATTGACCACGTCCCAAAACAGGCCATTTCGTGTTTGGATTCTCTTTTAGGAAGTTTTTCTTAATGTAATAATCAGGCATTGGCCTCTGCCAATACATGGGCTTTGTATCCTGGCTTTAGCAGCCCAGTTTGCATTCTAAGATTTCTCACCCTTGAATGATCTAAGACAATTTCAAAAGACTCAAGATGGAAAATGCTATCCACATCCAGGGAAAGAATTATGGAGTCTGAATGCAGATCGAAGCATACTATTTTCTCTTTTGTTTTCTTTTTCTTGGTTTTTCCCTTTTGTTCTGATACTTCTTTCACAACACAACTAATGCGGAAATATGTTTAATATGATTGCATGTATAGCCTACATCAGATTGCATGCCATCTTGGGGAGGGGAGAGGGAAGGGAGGAGGAAATTTTTAGAACTCAAAATCTTATAAAAGTGAATGTTGAAAACCAAAAATAAAGAAGTTTAAAAAAAAAAGATTTGTTGCCCTTGAAGGGTCAGCAGGTAGAAGGATGATGGTAGCAGAAGAGGAAAGGCTCCGAGTTTGAAGGTGAAAAAGAAAGAAGGAACTGAGTGGCACCTAATCTATAGCAGCTCCTCCTCATTGTGCATGCTAGATGTATGCCCTTCAGTAGGCATAGCCTGGATCCTTTTTCTTGTACCAGGAGGTTGCAGGGACAAAGCTGAAAGGAGCCACAGATCCTGAGGAAGTAGCATCCAACCAAGCTCAGTAGAAAGAATGATATGGGATATGAGTTCCTGTCATCCTTAGAGCCACAAAAAGAAAATCTAACTTCAGGTGCTAAAGACTGTATCAGTGGAAGACACCTCAGCTTCCAATGGGCAGAGCTGAGAACCAAACTTCCACTGCAGCCAGAGGACCAAGGAATAGACTTCAAAGAATGGTCACCTAAGGGGCTAAGAAAAGGACAAGAACCCATTTCAGTAACTAGAGAGAAGTATCTGTTAGATGTTAGAGAAACCAGAAAAAGTAGTGTCTTTGAGACCAAGGGAGGAGATAGTATCTAACAGAAGAGGGTAATCAGTGGTATCAAATGCTGCAGAGGAATAGGAGGACTGAACCAAAGGCCATTAGATATACCAACCAGGAAGCCATTGGTGACCTTTGAAAAAAGAATTTCTGTAGACTGCTGGAGTTGTAAGTAGGATTATAGGGTCTCAAGGAGAGAAGATTTGGTGAGGAAGAAGGTAGAGGCATCAAGAAGAGGCAACTTTTGGGGCAGTTAGGTGGTGCAGTGGATAGAGCACCAGCCCTGAAGTCAGGAGAACCTGAGTTCAAATCTGGCCTCAGACACATAATATTTCCTAGTGGTGTGACTCTGGGCAAGTCACTTAACCCCAATTGCCTCACCAAAAAAAAAAAGAAGAGGCAACTTTTTCAAGCTTTGCAGTAAAGGGGGAGGGGAGAGAGAGAGAGAGAGAGAGAGAGAGAGAGAGAGAGAGAGAGAGAGAGAGAGAGAGAGAGAGAGAGAGAAGGGATGAATGGCATCTAATTGACCCAGTGGATAATGCTGGACTGGGATGAGAAAAACCCAAGTATTAAATTACATGACCCCAGGTAAGTCACTTACCCTCTTTCACTCTCGATTTCCCTCTCTGTAAAGTGGGGATAATAATAGCAAGTACCTCTCAGAGTTGTTATGAAGTTCAAATGAAACGATATATGTAAAACATTTTCCAAACCTTACAACACTATATAAATGTTAGACGTTATTATTTTGAAATGAATGAAAAGCTTTTATTAAATGTCAAGCACTGTACTAATTGCTGGGGATGCAAATTTTAAAATTGCAATGGTCCCCCCCACCCCCAGAAGCTCACGCTCTGATTGGGAGAAACAACACATGTATGAATGGGTTTGACTAGAGGATGTATAGAATGTCCTGGAAGTCCAAAGGGCATATATGTACAAATAGATGATTTGCCTTCTATAAATTGGAAGGGCAACAGAAAGGCTTTTTAGGACTGGAGAGATCTGAACATGTTTATAGTGGATTAGAAGAAGCCGGTGACAAAGGAGAGGTTGAAGATGTTTGAGAGAGAGAAGAAATGATTGCTGAAGCAAAGTGAGTGAAGAAATGGAGGACAAAGGTAGATGGATTAGCCTTAAAAAGCTAGCACCTTATTTATGTACATGTTGTCTCAGTAGAATGTAAGCTTCTTGAGGACAGTTGCTTAGCTCAGTGCCTAGCCCAGAGTAAAAGAAAATGGAAAGAGTGAATGATGAAGTCGAAACACTTAGAGGAAGGAAGGAGAAGAGCTAGGGGAGCTCCTAGGAGATGCTCTTAATCTTCTTAGCGACATAGGAAGATAAATCATCTGCCATGTATCTGGGTATAAGGATGCAGTTGGGAGGCTGATGAAAGAGGAAAAATATGGAACAACAATTGTGGGGAGGGTGATGAAGAATCAATAAGAATAGACAGAGGAGTAGGATTGTCCAACAGCTAGGAAAGCCGGAGACTATGAACCATAAACCTGGACTGAGTAAGATTAGCTAGTTTTTAAAATCCTTTCTTCAGTGCTATTCACTATCCTGGCAATGGGAGCAGAAAAATTGCATGGTGGAAGTTACTCAGGAATGAGGATTAGGAAGTTTGGAAGGGTAGAAAGTTGGGGACAGGGTAAGGGTGTGAATACAGAAGAGTGTGGAGATTCTAGAGTAATGGCATTAAGATGGAGGATCATGGGGTCAAGCCTGCATCTGGACACAATGGAAGTCAGAAGAGGAGAGAGATTTGGAGGCAGTAAGATGTATCAGGGCTGTAGGAGTAAATTTAATCAGAATGATATATGATTTAGTGTGAGTTGGAGGAAACACTGTGCAATCAAAATGGTGATGGGTTTCAAAATCAGAGGACCTGGGTTCGAATTCTAATTCTGTCACATTTTATCTCCTGGCTTTGGGAGAGTGGCTTAATTTTTCTGGGCCCTAGTTTTCTCATCTGGAAAATATGAAAATTGGATTAGATGTCTTGTAAGTCCCTTAAAGCTCTGGATCTTTAATCCTATGAGAAAGAGAGACAGACAGACAGAGACAGACAGAGAAAGAGATAGAGAGACAGAGGAGAGAGCAGAGAGAGAGAGAGAGAGAGAGAGAGAGAGAGAGAGAGAGAGAGAGCAGTGGGCAGGTAACTGTTTGTGATGAGAGAATAGAATTTCAAAGTTCCTACTCTTTTGAGGTCTAAGGTGTGACCATGCCAATGTGAGGCAGAGGCAAGAGATGGAAGGAGGTTATGAGAGTGAAGGAATTATATGGTCAAGTTGTTAGGAGTAACATCAGTATGAATATTAATGCTCTTGAGGATGATGGCAGAATATTGAGTGGAGAGGAGAGTCAGGAATAACCTGGAGATCGGTAGATGACAGCAACAAGGATGTAGTACAAATGGATTGTGTGGCTTTTCTTCCCAGCAGCACCCACCATTGTGCCAAGCTCCAATAAATATTCTCTAATTCCTGGATGGATTAAAATTGATTTTTACCAAAACTACACAAAGGAAATACCAAGGTCCAGCATAAATCAAGCTGTCTTTCCCAAGGCTGCTTTAACAAACTCAAGGCTCATCGCAAAACATTGGACATACAGAGTCATGGAATCTCTGAGTTGGTTGCCTGAACCCCCAAGCCCACTTGCAGCAGGAACTGCTCTTCTCTGGTTCTTTTTGCTGCAATAACTCCTGTGCCCAGAAGGAGCCTCCTTTATTCTCCTAGGAGGACAGAGGAGAAGAATCCTGGTGGACAGCAAGGAGCTCACCTGCTTGAATTGGGAAGCTGGGTCAGAACACACGCAAAGCGTGCTGTGGCTGCTATGGTGGAGGGTGGGCAGCAGTGCACACCCCTCTGGGGAGAAGTGCCTATGGTTGATTGTTGGACACAGCCAGCAGTGGGAATAGGCAGGAGGAAGGGAAATAGGAGAGGTGGGCTAACCGCTGTGCTATTAGTTTTCTTCTTCTTACACACCCTAAGGATCATCTTATGTACCCTGTGGGATGTGTACGCCTCGGTTTAAATACCTGAGACCCAGAGGCCAAATAAGAAAAAAGGCTAAAAGTAACTCAGAAGGGGAAAACATTCCATCGCCTTCATCCCAATATTGAAATAGCTAGTGTGTGTGTGTGTGTGTGTGTGTGTGTGTGTGTGTGTGTGTGTGTGTTAAACACATAGGCACTGCAGAGTTACACCATCCTGGATATACTTAGAAAAGTGTCTCTCCTGCTTCCAGTGAAGGAGCACAGTTGGCTGTTTGACACTCCCTCAGACTTAGCAGTACAGACACAGTTGGGTTTTTCATCGAAGATTCAGCCCACCAGGAAGAAGAAAGAGGTCTTTGTCCAGCTTCCCTTTAAGTTGGGGCTGGCCTGACTTTCTGGTTCCTTCACTGCTTGGAGCCGAATTGTAGAAGGTCTGTGTCGAGGTTGAAGTCTCACCATGCCATCCGGGGCCTGCCTTATGTTAGTGGTGCTATGCTGTCTTGGAGTTTTGGGACAGACCCCGAAACAGAAGAAAATCAATCATGGGGAGGAGATTCACTTTCAGACAAAGGGCAAAGATGCTTGTACTATGCGGGTCAGCGATCAGGGTGAAATCCACCTGAGGCTTGAGTGCAGGAACCAGGGCCGGGCCTCCTGGTGTGAGTACAGTGGGAAGCCTGGGCTGTGTGGGGCCTTCATCAGCAACCCGACTTTCTACTGGAGCCAGGTGGTGCTGGGCTTGAGGAGGCTGAGTGAGCCCTGCCTGGCAGCCCCAGTGCTGAAACCCGCAGTGTGTCAGGGTGCCGGACCCGAGGCACAGCTCAAACAGGAGGCTTCTAGCCTGAAGGGTGCTTACCTCTCCAGCCAGCAGTCTGAAGCTTCTAGGCCTTCAAAACTAGGTCTCAGGTCTGAGGGACCACTCCACAAAGACTCTCAGGAACCCCAGATGGGCAAAAGGTCTACTAGGAAGGTTGGGAAAGCCAAGCCCACTGCCCCATCTCCAGCGAAGCCAACCCAACAAGGGCAGCATGCCCGGAGGGAGGAGGAGGCCATGAGGATGGCGAAAGAATACTGTTGGGAGCCCTTGCACAAGATCTGCTCTTATATCATTGGCATCTTTCTGGGCTAAGGACCAAGCCCTGCAGGTAAATCTTTTGTCTCTCAGGATGTAGAATAACCAGAGTGCTTCATGCTTTGCAGAATGCTTTCTTAAAACTCATCTCCCTTAATCCTCACAACAATCCAAGCAGGTAAATGGGGCAAGTGTCCCTGGATCTATTTGATGAGTGAGGAGATTAAGGCAGGTTTACACAGTATCTCACAGGTGGCCAGTGAAGGATCAGAGAATCATAGGCTTAGGGCTATGAAGTCACCTTAGAGGCTGGCTAATCCAATGCCTTCATTTTACAGATGAGAAAACTGAGACCTAGATGATTATTAACTTGGCCCAAGTTAATATTCAGGCAAGGATTTATTGAGGGTTGTGCTAAATGCTGGACATCTGGGTGGTTTGGAATCAGGAAGACCTGAGTTCAGATCTTGTCTCAGACACTTATTAGATGTGTAACCCTTGACAAATTTCTTAATTTCTCTAAGTCTTAGGTTCTGTATCTGAAAAGTGGAAAAAATAATAGTCCCTACCTTACAAGTCCTCTTGTGAGGACCAAAATGGGGTGACATGGGAAAAGATGTACTTTGCAAACCTTAGAATGCTCTATAAATGCTCACTTTCATTATTATTAGTAACATAATCCCTGCTCTGTAGGAGCTCACATTCAAATGGGAGAGACAACTTGAGAAAAAAATTCATGTGCAAAGCAAATAGAAAAGTAAAACCTCCAAGAGAAAGCACTAGCAATTAGGGCTGGGGAAGGGGAGACTAGGCAAGGTCTGCTGCAGAAGGTAAGAGATGAGCTGAGTGTTGGAGGAAGCCAGGAGGCAGAGGTGAATGAGGAAGAGAGTTCCAGGTGTCGGAAAAGAGAGCAGACAGCAGAAACAAGATTTGAATCCTAAGTCCTCAGACCTCAGATCTAGCACTATCCATTGCATTACATAATTTGAGATTCTAATGTAGGTATTTTGACTCAGCCCAACTCTTTCCATTACCCTCACTTTTGTGTAGAAATTTTAAAGGCCAGGCGACAGATTTAAAACTCTGGCAGTTTTGCATTCACCTAAACTGGAGAGCCTGTAGGGGCTGGAGTCTAATCCATTCCTTGTTTCACTGATGAGGAAATTCTATTTCCTTTGATTAAGAAATCAAGGTCCAGAAATGGGAATGTCTTGAAGCCAGAGCTCTAGAATCCTAGTTCTGAATTTCAGAATCAAAAGGTCCTCACTCCAGTTCCCGGAGCTACTCACTGTCCCACACTACATTTCCAGACAGTGGCCAGAAGAGGAAATATAGGCATTGTGGGCCAGAAACCTAATCATCACTGAGTGTTGCTCTGAGATTCAAAAGAGCATTTAAAAGGGTTAAACTGGAAATGAATGACACAGACTGGTTTTTTTTCTCTCTCTCTTTTAGGTTTTCTTTTTCAGAGACCTCGAACAGCTGGAGAAGGATCCCTCCATTCTATAGGGTGCAGTGTCTTTTAAGTCCCTGTCTATCCTCAGAATAAATAAACTGCTTGCCTATAGCCAACTGAATCACGATGTTTCAGCTACTGGGTTTTGTCTGTTTGTTTTGTTTTTGTTTTTGTTTTTTGGTATATTGTGAAGGAAACATTCCCTTTTTGAGTTTATAGTTTAAAGTGATAAACTCTATGTGAGATTGCAGGGTTAGCTCAGGGGCTTGAGGCCCAAACGTAGTTTTATAGTTTATTTTCAAACCTTAGAAGCACTATAGGGAAACGGAGATATATTAAACATTATTCCATAGTTCCTGGATTAGCTTTTCTAACAAGGTCTGTATTTTGCAATGCTCTGTATATGCTATGTTGAATGAATGTGTGGCTGGAGGTGGGATTCAGTCCTGTACACTCTGCCTCTTGTGTGCCCAACAATAAAAGAATGGCTTCAGAAGCCCACATCAGAGAATCTGTGTCCTGCCATTTTAATGGAAAGCATGAACTGGTTCCCTTGGCTGGCCATTAGGTCCAAGAGTGGCCATGACTCATTTCCAAGAGGATCAGAGAGAGAGCATGAAAGAAATCTTTACTGGGTGATACATACATTCACACACACACACACACACACATACACATACACACTTCACATGCAGAAATGAGTAAGAAGAAGCCAATATCAATGGTCAAGTAAGGAAACAGGATGAAATGCCTGATAAGGCATGAACAAATAGCAATTCCATACCCTCCTGGGTTATCTCTATTCAAAATAAGCTTATGATTGATTATATCTGTATATTAACTCACTACTTTAGTGATCTTGAAGTAATAGTTCCCTTTTAAAAGTGCTTTATTTTATTAACATTGATAATAGCTGACATTCACATAGTAAAGTTTGCCAAGCACTTTACCTACATTATTTCATTTGTTCTTCCTGCCATTATTATCTCCGTCTTACAGATGAGAAAAAGCAATATTAAGTGGCTTGTCCAGGGTTACAAAGTACTGTCTTCATGACAACCATATGAAAGGAAGGTAGGGTAAGAATTATCATCCCCACTTTATGGATTTAACTAAAGTTGAGAAGGGAAGTGATTTTCCCAAGGTCACACAGAACCCAAACTCAGACTCTAAGACTAGACTTCCACACGCTCCATCACACTGCCTCTCCTACAATATAATAACACGGAGCCTGATTTCCAAGACATTCCTTTTTCTATCTACATTTCAAGCCCGCAAAAGCAATTTTATAGGTAAATGATGCTATGGACAAATCACTCTATGACTGTTAGAGGTAGCAGCCTAATGTTATCGTCCCAGAGAGACTGGCATTTAAAAAGTAGGTTCTTGGAGAGGCAAAGCTGCATCCCCAAAGGAGATGAATCTCTACTAATGGAATTTCAGGCCCTTTCCCAAGTGAGTAGGGGAGATAATTTGGGGGCAGGAAGCTTCACCATTTTTGTTTTGTCCGAACCTATGATTTCATTAATGTTGGGAAGCTGTGGCAGATTGACAAGACCTTTACAACTCACAGTCTTAGTTGCTTGAGAACTCAACTTAAGAAGTTAAATGGTCTGTTTATGGTCGCACTGTCCAGCTAGTATATGTCAGAGGCAAGGCGTGAACCCCGACATTCTTGTCTCTAGATACTGGGCTCTTATCCTACAGGTCACACTGACTCTCAGGGAGATAAGTGCATTTAAATCCCATCACTTACCAGATGTGAAACCAGCAATAACATCTGACATGTGCGACATATCATTTGGGGTTTTACAAAGAGTTTGACGTAGGTCATCTCATTTAATCTTGAGACAAAGCTGGAAGGTTGGTGCTACAAATATCATTATCCTCTTTTTATAGGTGAGGAAGCTGTAGCTTCAAGACATTAAGTGACTTAACCAGATTCATACAGATGTTATGATTAAGGCTAAGCCTAAATCAGATGATAGGTTATACCGATTGTTTCTATGTAAATACAAACTCATTCATTCATGTATTCACTCAACAAATTATGTAATTATAGAAACTGTTGGAAGCAACACCCAAGTGGAGCATTTAACAGAATATTGGACCTGGAATTGGGAAGTCCTGAGTTCAAATCCAGTCTCAGACTGTGTGACCTTAGGCAGTCATTTAACCTCTCTGCCCCAGTTACTTCATCTGTAAAAAAGTGATAATAATAGCATCTACCTCCCAGGGTGGTTGTGAGACCAGTTTCTTCATCTGTAAAATGGTAGTAATAATAATAGCAACCACCTCTCCTAGTTGTTGTGAGCTTCAGTTTCCTCATCTGTAAAATGTTAACAACAATAGCATTTACCTCGCAGGGTTGTTTTGAGGATCCATAATGAGATAACAATATAAAGCACTTAGCATAGCACCTGACACATAGTGAGGGGTGGAAAAGGGGTTGGGGGTTGGATTGGATCATCTCTCAGGTCCTTTGACACCCAGGAGTCAAGGGGACTGAGCTCAAACCTCTGCTTGACCATTTACTATCTCTATGACCTTGGACGAGACAGGTTACTTCCTCGGGCCTCAGTTTCTTCATGTATAAAATGGAGGGCATAAAGATACCTGCCCTCCATCCCTCTCTGGGCTGTTGTGAGGAACAAATGAGAGGTTGTATGGGAAAAACTAGCAAATACCAGTCAGATCGTACAGGATTACTGTTGCCTAGGGCCCCTTCCAGCTCTAAAGTTTTATGATGCTCTGAAACTGAGCCCTTTATTGCTGAGGACATGGGCAACAGTGGAGAGATCCCAGTCAATGGCATCAGTCAGAGAAGGGTTTCTCTCCCTATGGGCCCAAGAGGCAGATCCTTCTAAAACCAACAAAGGGGACTGAAGTGACTTTTAACACCAAAAGGCAGAGGTGTTTAGGCCACAAGTCCCTGCCAAAACAGGCTGGCAGTGGATTGCTTAGGAGGATATGGGCCAGACGGCTTTCGGGAAGACCCCCTCCATCAGTCAGAAGCTGAGACTTTTCAATGACTCAATTTCAGGTTAGCTTGAAAGGAAACACAGTTTGCAAAGAACCGTCTATTAAAAGGAGCTTTTCTGTTCACTTTTTTTTAGCAACTTGTCTTCTTTAAATCACCTCTCTCCTCACATGCTTACTGCCAGTTGCTAAGTAAACTTGAATGTATATTTTTTTTAACCTATGTAAGTACACATCCTTTGAGCCTTCCTGTTGGGACAGAGGTAGCCTGGACCCTAGCCATCCAGTGAGGCTAATTCAAGACCTGGAGAGGCGCTGGGCATGGAGTAGGAGCCTGGCTGGCCTGCTTAAGTCTGAGAGGCCCCTTTATGCTGTGTATGACAGAGAAGAGGTGTTGAGCTTCCGCGAGGCCAGGCAGGCAGAAAGCTGCTGAGGAAGGGTGCCTCCCACACCTTGGCAGAGAGGAGATTTTCAGACATGGCTACTGTGTTGATTTTTGCTTGACTATACATATTTGTTACAAAGGGGGGTTTCTATTTGGGTAAGTGAGGGTGAGGAATTAGTGGGGGGAAAGCCAAAAAAAGCATCAAAATACACAGAAGAAAATTTAAAATTTAAAAAGGTCAGAAATGGACAAAAACAGGACAATTTTGTTACTCTCTTATTAAATCTAATACATACTTAAAAAACAAACTATATATAAGAAGACAAATTCATGGTTTCAAACGCAGCCTCAAAGTGTCTCGTTCGTCCTCAGCATCTCTCCTGGTCTTGTTATGGTTGGTGACATCTGTCACTGTCACTCTTGACGTGCTGCTACCAACTTCAGTGACAATCCAATACCTTTCAACCTTTGACATTTCACAGAGCCATCAACTGGTTATGGGGGTGGGAAGGGTCCGGGGGGTTTCTCCTCTCCCAGGAGCGATTTCTTTTCAGGATTCTTTCACTCCTGGATTCAACCACCTGTTGCTGGCATGCATGATTTCAAATTTGCTCGCTGCATCGCACATAGACCCAGAGGTGCGTCTTCTTCTTTCAAACGGTCATGAGCTGTTTCCTGCATGGATCATATTGTTGTTGTTGAATCATTTCAGTCGTGTCTGCCTCTTTGTGAACCCATTTGGGGTTTTCTTGGCAAAGATACTGGAGTGGTTTGCCATTTCCTTCTCCAGCTCATTTTACAGATCAGGAAACTGAGGTAAACAAGGCTACATGACTTGTCCAGGATCATACCGCTAGTAAGAGTTTGAAACCAGATTTGAACTCATGAAGATGAGTTTTCCTGGTTCCAAGCCCAATGCTCTATCCACTGTGAGACCTTGCTTGGATCATCTGCCTTCATATAATGATGAAAGCATTGATGCTTCCAAACTGATTACGGACTTATTCATACCTGGTTTATACCTTTGATTAATCTCTTGAATTAATCAAGCTGTCTGGGTTTTCATTATTACATTAATTGGGGTCAGATAGAAAACCCTAGTCTTTCAATGGTATAGGATCCCAGATATATGGTTGGAAGGGACCAAAGTAGTCATCTTGTCCAACTCCCTCATTTTACAGATAAGGAAACTGAGGTCCAGAGAATTTAAATGACTTGTTTGAGGTCACACATGTAGCAAGGAACATAGAATCCAAGCTCAGGTCCTCTGACTCCAACTCCAGCATTCTTTGGGAAAGGATCTGAGATCAATTATTCATATTTAAATATTAATGTCAGTCAATGAATGATCTCTTAGAGAGGTGTTTGCATTTTAAGCCTGATTTTATATTGGAACACAATCGCCACTTTAAAGTTAAAATAACTGGTTTCAGGTTCCAGTTGAAACACTTATTAGCTGTATGAGGTAGGCAAGTCGCTTTATCTCTCTGAGCTAACTTGAGTCCTCATCTGCAAAATGAGGATAATAAAATTTGTACTATCTATCTCTCAGAGTTGTTGGGAGGAAAGTACTTTGTGTAATTCACAGAGTTATAGAAATGTAAGTTATGTGAGCTCTCTGTACGCTCATTTTCTTATCTGTAAAATAACCAAATGAAAGAGATTGCTTTAGATAATCTCCAAGCTCCCTTCCAGCATTAAAATCCTACAATTCTACAACTTTTATGGTATGAATAGCTGAATCTCGGAGTTGTAGGGGAACC